CTATATAAAAAATGGAGCACATTTATTGGCCGATAACTGTCCACTATATAAAAAATGGAGCACATTTATTGGCCAATAGCTGTCCACTATATAAAAAATGGAGCACATTTATTGGCCGATAGCTGTCTGCTATATAAAAATGGAGCACATTTATTGGTCGATAGCTGTCCACTATATAAAAATGGAGCACAATTATTTGCCGATAATGGTCTTTTGTTCACAATGCATGAAAAATACATTGTCTTATACAAAATGTGAATGTGTACAACACTGCGACTATCGTTGCATTTTTTGTATGATTTGTAAAAAACCTCCCACTGAATTCTGACCCCTGACCCCTGTAAGCATCATAAGGGCTTCTCGTATTGAAAGATTCATGAAAAATAATATTCAAGAGAATCTCAAAATTGAATTTAGAAGCAACCTTGAGTAATTACAACAATGAAGAATATGTGTGATTAGACACTCCAGTTCAGGCTAGCATCCATGCTCCAATATTTTAAAATTAATTGCCTACTGTGAAATACTTTATTTTAGTTGGAGATAATTTTCGCTGAAAAGTACTTTTTGAGTGTTTTGTATGGAATTTATTTTCACTGGTTATTCACTGGTTCAATGTTAAATATAGGAAAAAGGATATATTCGCTGGATTTTATTTTCACTGAATGACGATAATTAATTCCAAGCGAAAATAAAGTATTTTACAGTAATCAACTGATTAAAGTATTCATATTCATCACGAGAGTGATATTACAGTGTTTCTTTCTTCGTGTTATTTTTCTCTGCAGGCAAAATTTATCACTCCATCACATTATGCAGACATTACCATTGAACGGTCGGTTGCCAAACAGTGTGGGTATCCAGTATGTGAGAATGGTCTGAGTAACATGCCAAAACAGAAATATCACATCTCAACTCATTCCAATAAAATATATGATATATCGGAGAGGAAGGTCAGTGTGTGAGATTTTTCACGTTATTATTTTTTGCTTTATTGTTTTTTCAATAAGAAAATGGAAGTATCTTTGCTTGGATTCATCGCCTCTACATGTATATACGTACTGTATTTGCTATATTAGAAGCACATCGCCAATACAGGTTCCGCTTTCAACAAAGTCGAGCAAAACTTGTTGTATTATTGATTGTCCATCTTTGACCATCATCAACTTTACACTTATTGTCTTGAGCACTGCTGGCATTATTGCTTTGATAACTTATACCTCATAACTTTGATGCATATTTTTGGGAAAAAGTTATATTTCTGACTTTTTCTTAAAAAGTCATTAATTTTCATGACATAATCATTAATTCTCTATTTTTATTGAAAAGTGTTGACATTTTTGGTATACTTTCAACACTTTCTCAAAAATGATTTGTCTAACTAACATACAATATTAGCTACAGTATGATGTGAGCGTAACTACCTCAGTTTGCTTTCAAAACTGTCACAGCTTTTATATGTAACATACAAAATTATGCGTTTTACCCTGGCACGCAAAATTTACAAAGAATATATAAAGTACTCCAATATTCTCACAATGTTTATGTTTTTTATTCATTTCTCAGTGTTTTTGTAGCAATTTTTGCTACAAAGCATCCAAGTACTTTGAGAACCAGGTGCCATCGTCTCCAGTCTGGACCAGAGAAGGTGAAATGTGAGTTTATTGTATTATTTAGGGATGGGATCTATTGCGTATACATCCCGGATACATAAGGGACGAAGTCAAAATATCGATGTCAGATAAAAACTTATTTGCTTTAGTTTGGGGGGGGGGGGGGTTGACCTCAAAAAGTTTCCATCCTGTATAAAGACCACCTGTCTATAGTGACCACCTCTATATAGTGACCACCTCTATATAAAGACCACCTGTCTATAGTGACCACCCCTATATAAAGACCACCTGACTATAGTGACCACCCCTATATAAAGACCACCTGTCTAGAGTGACCACCTCTATATAAAGACCACCTGTCTATAGTGACCACCTCTATATAAAGACCACCTGACTATAGTGACCACCCCTGTATAAAAACCACCTGTCTATAGTGACCACCCTATATAAAGACCACCTGTCTATAGTGACCACCCCTATATAAAGACCACCTGTCTATAGTGATCACCCTTATATAAAGACCACCTGTCTATAGCGACCACCCCTATATAAAGACCACCTGTCTATAGTGATCACCCTTATATAAAGACCACCTGTCTAGAGTGACCATCTCTATATAAAGACCACCTGACTATAGTGACCACCCCTGTATAAAGACCACCTGTCTATAGTGACCACCCCTATATAAAGACCACCTGTCTATAGTGACCACCTCTATATAAAGACCACCTGTCTATAGTGACCACCTCTATATAAAGACCACCTGTCTATAGTGACCACCCCTATATAAAGACCACCTGACTATAGTGACCACCCCTATATAAAGACCACCTGTCTAGAGTGACCACCCCTATATAAAGACCACCTGACTATAGTGACCACCCCTATATAAAGACCACCTGTCTAGAGTGACCATCTCTATATAAAGACCACCTGTCTATAGCGACCATCTCTATATAAAGACCACCTGACTATAGTGACCACCCCTGTATAAAGACCACCTGTCTATAGTGACCACCCCTATATAAAGACCACCTGTCTATAGTGACCACCTCTATATAAAGACCACCTGTCTATAGTGACCACCCTATATAAAGACCACCTGTCTATAGTGACCACCCCTATATAAAGACCACCTGACTATAGTGACCACCCCTATATAAAGACCACCTGTCTAGAGTGACCACCTATATATAAAGACCACCTGTCTATAGTGACCACCTCTATATTAAGACCACCTGTCTATAGCGACCATCTCTATATAAAGACCACCTGTCTATAGTGACCACCTCTATATAAATACCACCCGTCTATAGTGACCACTATCAGGCAGCTCCAAAGCATAACTTATTCGATTTTGATCAGCACAGATGCATTATTTTTTGGACAAATATTATGTCAAAAGTACGAGATGTGATGATTTTAATGAAGTCCCTTGGGTGCTCACTTTACAAAGGTTTGACTGTATTTGGCACTACAGTGGACGTGATAATAGCAGAGAATGAAACAATATTTGGATCAAAAACTGTGGCTCTCTCACTCACAATGTGATCTTGGAGGTAATTTGCAAATAAGTTGTATTCCTGCTTTGTTGTTCCAAGAAACATCAACTTTATCGACGGTCGGCAAGGCAAGTTGTTTTTATTTTCGTAATGATGTAATTTAAATAAATAAAAAACGTAATTTCGTAGACATGGGCAATGTGTAAAACGTAATTATCTATTTTATTCATCTGTAATTTGTACAAAGATATTATTTTTTGTAAGCATATAAAGCATTTTCCAAATTAAATGTCGTAATTCATACGCAATTTCCAATTTTGATTCTTAAGCACAAATTATCAAAAATATTATAAAAATGTAAAATGTAATTAGGAATTTGCTTTATCTGTATAGTTTCAAACCCATTTTTTACTGTAAATAAAACTTTCATTTTATTTTACATTTATATTTCCTGTAACTGTGCCAGCTACCCGCTTGCCCCCCCCTTATAAAAAACCACATGTAAATCAAAGGCTGTGTGTTTTATTGCAGTCCTCCAGACATTACGTTACTGTCCAAAGACAAGACGACAAAGAAGGATTTTAAAATTGAGGGCGCTGGTCAAGAAGTAGTACTAATATCCCCAAAAGTAAAAAAAGAGGATATTAATCAAGTTACGGTCAATCCTGATGATGTACCGGAAGTTCCCCTTGATGAACTGGCTGATGACTTATCCCAGCTACTCATCACGGATGAGGAGCATATGTCACAGATCAAAGATAGAGCAGATGAGGAAACAAGATTTGAGAATAAATCAGAGATGAATGAAGTGGGGACTAGTTGTCATGGTAATCAATCAAACGCTGGGGGATTATCTGCCAGTGATAAAGTTCCTTCAGAAGAGACACATGAAGATTTGTGCATGGAGCTGCAAAACAAACAGAGGTCGGTTGTGGAGAAAGAGGATACCGCTGCTGATGAGAGTCAGCAACAGAAAGTTGGAGTAGTGGATAATTTGGAGCAAAGAACAAAAGATAGTGTAACTGTTAAACCAAAGACTAAGAAGAGGAAACCTAAGAAATGTTTGGATGTACCAATAAACAAAAGTCTCCCATTAGAAATTGTTAGAAAGACGCTTTTTGAATGGCGAACTGTGGAGGCAATTCGGTTGGTGTTCGGTGATGAGACTGCAAACAAGTTAGCTGCGACACAACAAGAGCTGGTGCAGACATTGCAGCAGCAAAGTAGTCAACCATCGGCAAATACGGAGATAGTAAACAATTTGTCTGATTCGTCTGTAAATGCAGTAGCACAACAACAAACAGAACAGTTAGCGCAACAGTCAGTCAACATGAGTGAGGAAGATCGGGCCAAAAACAAATCTGTTGCTGGGATGCCAGGGGAAAAAGATTATGGTCAGCTGTTGCAGCAACAGAAGAGTAACAAACTTGTTGCTGGCGAGAAAAAAATATCTAGAGAAGAAGCGATTTTTGAAGCCAAAGTTCAGAAATTTTACAGAGGAACTGTTTTGAGCAAAAAAGAAGATGTAAAGAGAGAAGAGAAGGTATTGTGACATAGAACACAGATGATTTAAATTCTGTGCTCTATCTTAGATACTAATATGAGAACAAATATTAAAGCGGGAGGGTGTCCACCTGCGCACACGTGGGAATTGAGTCCTAAGCGATGATAACAACACACACGAAAAACTCAAAGGCTCATGGGTAGGCGCTTGTTTGTAAACAATGACACGCTATGGCCATCTGACGCATGCGCAGGTGACGACTCCCCCGCTTTAAAGTCTTTGATTTATTTCATTCTGAACATAATTGCTTAGAAATTACAGGGTTATGTAGCAAACAATGGATAAAACTCAGAATATACTTTCACAGATTTCCCTAGCCATGGAAAGTATAATTACCCTGTTATCATGTCTGCCGTGGTCTTATAACAATTCATATATCCAAGTCAGGAGCCCTCACTGTTTTCTGTGGGAGAGGCCTATTCGGTGAACTCAGACTGAGAAAGAGGCTTCTAGGTGAAGCTATGTTTTTGCTTCATGCACAGACATAGGAACCTATTTTTTCATGTACATAACATTTTAAATTTCTTGTTTATTTTCAATTCAACCCATCAGTGTATCCAATTATGTTGTCAGTTTCTTAAAGTAGTTTTCTATGGTAAATTAATGTTTACTCAGAAATTTTGAAAATTAGCTACAAGATTTATCATGGGAAAACTTGTTCAATATACTGACATCATAATTTTACCAATAATTATTCCATTTGATCCCAAATTATCAAAAATTCATTAAAAATACAAAAAACGTTCTACAAAATTTTGTCAGAAAAAAATATGGGATGCCCCAAAGTGTTTACAGTATTTAGAAAAAAAACGTCATTACAAAAATTGTTCATTCTACAAAAAAACATCATTCATTATGGTCTATTTCATCTGCAGGATGTGGTTGAATCGCAAGATACCCGTCAAATCATTCTGCCATTCGTCGACTCTCAGTCACAGCTGTCGATCAGACGAAATATAGTTATGCAGAAACTTAACAGAGCGTAAGTAAAACCAGAAGAAACTTTTGAACCCGGAAATAGTTCTATCTTATGGGCTGATTTTTTTATGCAAATCCATGCATACTAATTGATCATTTGCATAACAACCCCATCTCAATACTAGTATTCTGGCAATGTCTAATAAACCCAAAGTGAGATGATTATGAAATTTTGTGTACAGGTGGCGTGGCTTGCTTAGTTCACAATAAATAGATCAATTAAATTTAACAAAGAACTGCATATGAGATTTAAGTATTTGTCAGTATATGTGTAAAAAATCTGCTCACTTCCGATAACATTGTATTTTATTAATCGCAATGAAAAGTTCATTTTAAGTGAAACTTTCACAACATGCATAAACATGAAGCCATTCACAATTTAACAGTGCTCTGTTTTATATTTAAAGTTACCAAAGTCTTCTTGGACCTTTGCGTCTCTCTATGAAGGATATATCAACCAGTCTGAACACTCTGGTGAAGAGCTTTCATCTGAGCAGCACTAATGTAGTCTTGAGACCCGCTGAATTGACACTGATGGCGGTGGTACTCCTGCTCATGTAAGTTAATTTTTCATTCCTATTGACGTCGGTGAAAAAAAACTTGATATGTAGCATTTAGAGAATAGTGTCCAGTCAAATAGTGATGTCACGCTACCAGTTATGTATGCGTATGGTATGTCCGAACAAGGATGTTTGTTTGAGTAATGGGTTTAACATCTTACATGCACCCCATGTCTCACCCAGTGTACCCTCCAACAAGACTGATTTTGTTGGGATCTTGAGTCAGCTTGTTGACTGCTGGAGAAACATAAGTTAGTATTTTGAGATCGCTATATCAAGGTACAGTGCTCTGTTGCGTCATTCGTCCACCAGGAAATTAGTGTCACAACCAATGCATCAGTAGGACATCATAACGACGTAGATGGCACATTGGTCTTGCCCACTGCTGCCATACATCCAAATCCATGGCCTATCATCACACATGACGGGCAGTGCATCACTCTTTTTTTCACTGAAGTCACTTAAAGCATGTTGATATTACTAGTGTAAAAAACACAAAATACATTCACTCCTGTATTTTACATGTGTGGCTGGTTCTAACGAATTACTGATTATCGTTAAGTCTTCTGGCTTCTCTGTCAACAACCCGGTAACGGTTTTCCATCCAGGTGATTAGCTTTATCATCGTTTATAAATACTTTATTTAACCATTATCTTGTACCTGCTAAACTTGATGCAATAGATTTTCTTGCTTTGGAAGTTATTGCATTTTATATTTACACTATTGTCAATACCAATTTTGTGATGTCATCATCACTGCCCAATCCATAATAGACTCCAGCACGCTTTGTGCATCATATATGTTGCACGGAATTATGGGTTGGCAGGTCATAAATACTGCTTGACAATACGACTACCACTTTTTGTTATACTTGAAAACCACCACCAGATGGCACTGTTTAACTTGTAAAAGAATTTTTTTTCTATAATAGAATGTTTTTGTTGATGCCCTACTCAGATAAAATTTACTTAAAAATATTTTCTTCAGTATAGGGGAATTTTTCTTTTTTTGGTAAAAACATGGTAAAATTGTGTGATTCATAGTAGTACATGTATGTCCAGTTCAAATCAAAAATAAGGATATTATATAATAATTTGAAAGATGATTTTTTTTCTGATATTTAATTTTAATTTAAAAATTTCTTTTTTTGTAAACATTTAAAAGAAAATCTAAGCTTTTATTCTTATCCTACCTATACTGCTGTAAAAATTTGTATAAAAACAAAAGAATGTCAGATGTTGTCTCTAGATGGCAGCATATAACCCAACTGCATTGCTCATTTGTTCCCATTGCACTCTCTCAAAATTTCTGTAGAGGGAGCTGTTCAGAGTCACTGTAAATTTTCACTTCATTCTCGGGCAATGCCAGGTGATCGTAATCCATAAACATAAAATTAACGGTTAATTCACTAGTAGCATATTTTTCTCAAAAATTACCAAGTGTTTTTAAAGCCTACTTTCATTTAAAAATCGTGATTTTAGTAACAATAAGTATTCAAACCTTTTGAAGCCATGAATAAAAAAAAACATGGTCAGGGAAAATAGTTGAATAAAAACACCTGTTGAAAGTTGACATAAAAATATTTGCTGCTCAATAAATTTGCTTTTTCCTATTTACACAGCAAATAATGTCGTCACAATAATGTTTTGTAATTATAGCATATTTCGATTGCAATCAGTTCTAAAAAAAAATCATTTTTACAATACGAGTGATTTTTTTTATATATGAATAATACACAACATTATTGGGTTTTTTTATGCTGCTTTTCAGACGTGATTAAATTTCAGTAATCAACGACACAAAACCGCACATATGTCGAAACACTGCTGTATAACAATCTGTCATTAGTTATTACAAAGTTATTTTCCTGACCTACGTATGGTTTCAACGCAAATCACAACTTAATGGCATGGATCGTCATTATTAATTTTTTTCTAACTCGGCATTTTTAATGAGCTTCATAGATTTTTCAATAGTTTTTTCTTTACTTCACAGAAGAACATATTTCAAGCACAAAACAAAATGAAACAACATACGTTTATATATTTTTCTGTAGTGCAACCAATAATGTATCATTGTCAAACAGTAATTCCGTTTCGAAAAACAAATCTGTAACCCAACACCGTTCATTTCTCTAAATCCATGAGTTTTTTTCTGTCCTTTCCTGTCAACAGTCCAGTAAGGGTTTTCTCGCCCTGTGATTCGCTCTGTCATCAATAACCCTCACATGAATTATCGATGTTCTCATAGAAATCTGACATCGATATTTGCGCAATTTGCGTATGATTTTGATTGCTTATACGGAGCAATCAATAACAATATAATGTAGTCCTATATTGAATACTAAGCAGAGCTTCAAATGTGATTCCTTCATTTCTCAAGAGTCTGGCCGATAATTAATAAAAATAGATTGCTGTACATGCCTGAGCTACAAGCAAGGTCACTGTTTATAGACGTATAAATAACATCAAAAATGTTTTAATATTATGATTGTGTTTTTGCAACTAACAGTTTCATTGGCCAACTACTAATTTGGACTTTCTTTTTTTTTTGAAAAAAAAGAGTGGCTGTTGCAATTGCAACTTTCGTATGCAGTTCCTAGAACATAATTGTTTGTTTTCCTGGAGATCTTTACAGCTTCTCTCAGTCCTGTCTACTGTAGCTAAATTTAGAAATTGCTGAGAACTTAAAGTCCTACAGTGATTCAACTTTGGTGTTGTATTTAACACATGTTGTATTCGTCACATGGGACCCATACTGAACGTAACGCAGCACACCGCTATGTTTTAGTGGCAAGAATCAGAAAAGAAACCCTGAAAAGAAAAAAACTGTAGGAAATGTTCTCCAACATTGAATCGCTTTTGACTGAAATAAAAAGATTTTTAATTTGCTTTTGTCTCTCTGTCTGTTCATCCGTCCGTCTGTCCACTTTGTGTGTGTACAACTGAAAATTATGTTGATTTTGTTGAGAGATTTTAGAAGTAAATGTTTGTCGCTGTCACAAGTATCTCTGAAAAACCCTCTTTTTCTGGCGTGATATTTTAGATTGATTCTAATTTAACACGTTGCTAATTCTGCTGAAAGTCAACTCTTACGTGACTTGACTTTGCTGACAATTTGTTCTAAATTAATTCATGAATCAAGCTTAATTCACTAAAATGATGTGTAGCATTTCCATAGTAACACAGTCATAATATACATGTGCATAGGGGAGGCCTACAAAACTATGAATATTTACAACAGTCTGTTTTTAGAGAGCTACTAAAAATTGGACACATTTACAGGTAGGCCAATAAATACAAAAATAAAAACAAAAAACACTTGCATGTGTTAAGCTTGATCATAATTCGTGGCTTTTTTTTGACAATACACAAGTTACGACCATGGGTAATGTTTATCGTATTCCAACCATATTGCGTTTTAGTAATGAACTACATAGTTCATGATGTCGATGAAGTCCAACTTGAGTACAAAACAATAAAAGCATGTTAGAATGTTGACAAGCGCAGTTCTGAAGACAATGACCCTTTAAACTGTTAGCTTGCATCACACGTACGAATATCATCACTTACAAATTTTTAAATTTACAGTCGTGCAAAAATGTCAACAGTTGTGCAGATCAGATTATTTGTAATACAGTGTATCTCTGGGACTATATAATGTTTGCATCATATTTATCAAAGAAAATATTACCACAGTGGAAAAGACCTTTTAATTTCTTCAGCTCACTGTACATTTTTTAATTACAATATATGCTATATTAGTAGCATGTGTGTTCAAAGTCAAAACAGGTTGTATTGTAATAATCCACTATACTAAGAAGTACTATATTGTAGCTGGAATTAATATTCGCTGAAAAGACTTTTGGTGTTTTGTTTTGTATGGATTTTATTTTCACTGATTTTTGACGAGTTAAATGTAAAATATTGTAAAAAAAGAATATTTGCTTGATTTTATTTTCACTGAATCATTCCTTCAGCGAAAATAGCGAAAATTAATTAATATTTGCTTGATTTTATTTTCACTGAATCTTTCCTTCAGCGAAAATAGCGAAAATTTATTCCAAGTGAAAATAAAGTATTTTACAGTACTATAAATGCGATGTTTGGTTTATGTGCTCTTATATTAGAAATGTTTTATTTATTTTATTAAACACATCAACCCCCCCTCCCCCTCCCGTTCATTCTGCTTACCTGGGAATGCTTTCAACAGTACACGTTAACAATTAAACTCACTACAGATACAATATTATTTCCATGGAAACTAGAATACTTTTTATAGTGCAAATCTATATCGTAAATTTTTGTATTTTAATTTCCACAAAAAAAAATGATTTTGTTTCTTTTTATAAATTAGATATCTGCTTGAGTTTGAGAATATCATCAATCTTTTTTTTTTTGAAGAGTAAAAAAAAAAATACGTGAATGCATCAATAATCTGTGCTTCCCATATCAGGTGCAGAGTTTCACACCAACACATTGAAACATCATACAAGTATTATGCCAAACGTTATTTCCTATAAATATATTGATTTCGGTTTTTCATTCATTTGAGCAGATTTTGTAAACCATACATTGTTTGGATATCATATTTTGTAATTCAAATGGTCGATATTTATTGAAATTATTATTGTGGTTTGTAGAGAGATTTTCCTGGGTGACTGTAACATTTGTGCTATATCGTCACATTTTATATTTATAATACTGTCTGTGTTGTTGGTTTTGAATTTGAAAAAATAAAACGATAATGGCAGTTTTTTTAATTTTTTTGTTCTGCTTGTAGAAAGTGAATATACAGATGTACTGTACAACACTTTGAAATAGCTGCATATCATTTTAGCGAATTTGATTCAATTCATGAATTAACTGAATCTTAATTTATCTAAAGTGCCAATACAGTGAGAATATACTGTAAAATCTGTATTAGAAACCGCGGCTTCTATTAAAATGGTACAATCCAATAGAGGGGGTGCGGCTTCTATTAGAGCATCTACACA